AAAAAAAAAAAAAAAAAAAAAAGCTACAGCTTTGGTCATGCCACTATACTCCAGCCTGGGCAATAGAGTGAGACTCTGTCTCTTTTTTTTTTTTTTTGAGACAGTGTCTCATTAAATTGCCCTGGGGTAGAGTGCCCTAGTGTCATAGCTCACAGTAACCTCAAACTCTTGGGCTCAAGTGATCATCTTGTCTCAGCCTCCTGAGTAGATGGGACTACATATGCCTGCCACAACACCTGGCTAGTTTTTTCCTCTATTTATAGGGATGGGGGTCTCGCTTTGCTCAGGCTGGTCTTGAACTCCTGAACTCAGGTGATCCACCTGCCCCAGCCTCCCAGAGCGCTAGGATTATAAGCATGAGCCACTGCACTCAGCCCAAGACTCTGTCTCTAAAAATAAAAATTAAAAAAATGAAAAATGAAAATGCTTAGCTAAGAGAGACACAAATTGCAGTGGGAGCCCAAAGGAGAAAAAGCACCTAGCATTTTGAAAGGATCATGGAAAGGTAGAAGAATAGATAGAAGAAGCCAGAGGAAGAGGAATTTGAACTGGGCCTGAAGGATGGGTATTTGCTGACTGATGTAGACTGGGGAGAGGGTTGACGGGGCAGATGTACAACTCTAATTACTTAAAAACTGTCCCTATGATTCCTGATCCCTTTTCTGGCCCTCAACACTTTTCTTCTTTATGTCTCCTAAACTTCCCCTCTCCCTACTTAGATTCGTCTGCCCCAGATTCTGTCCACCTCCCTGACCATGAGCCCATCAGCCAGTCCCTCATTTCTTTAAGCTCCTGTTACTCAAGAACTCCAGACAGGGTGTCCTCTGGTGCCCTCTGGGGTGTCCTCTGTTCAGGGTAGAAGTACAGGGCAAGCTCATCTTCTGAAAGATCCCCTCTATACTCCACTTCCTCCAGACCTGGGCAACAGGCTGACAGAGCTCACCAAGACTGTATCTCGACTGCAAAGTGAGATAGCCGGGGTCCGGCGGACTCTGGCAGAGGGAGGGACACTCCGGCCTCCTGATGGTGCCAGCATCCTCAGTCGCTACATCACCCAAGTACGCAACAGCTTCCAGAACCTGAGCACCCCCATCCCTGAGACTCCAGAGCTGACAGTGCCAGGGATTGTGGAGACCCAAGTATCTTCAGAAACTGGGCTCCAGGACACTGAAGGTGCCAGAACTCCAGCTTCTAGACAGTCTGGCCCCTCTTCCCCAGCACAAGTGCTAGTGCACAGGGAACTGGAAGCAGAGGGGGATGGGAACCTGCCCCAGGAAGAGAATATGGGGACCAAGGGTGGGTCCTAATTCAGTAGAAGTTACCCTTTTTCTGTTGCTAAGGATAGCAACCTAGATGGGTGAGGCTGAAGGTCACTTAGTAGGAGCCTTTGCTGCTTTCTTGCCTCAATAAAGTTTCTGTTCTGGATATCAGATGCCTCCAGAGTGTGTGAGAATCTCTGGGTCTTGATGTTTTGAGTTCTTCCCCTTTGTTCTCCTAAAATAGATCCTATGGGAGCAGGGCAGAGAAAAATGGCTTGCTCTGGGGTCCCAAGTATCTTGGGCTTAGGATCCTACTTTGGGCTTCCCCAAATCTTCAATGGAAAGAGTGCTGGGCCAGGAGGCAGGAGGCTTGGGAGGTATGAGGCCTCGGTCCAATACTGACTCTCTGACCTTGAGCAGTTGCTTTACATTTCTCATCTGACAAATATGGCTGAAGAATCCATCCATTGCCTTCCTGCGTCCCTGGTTGTTCTAAGGACCCTTTGGCTATTCAAGCCTCTGGATTTGCAAATTATGTGTGTGACAGGTCTGTGCAGGGGACCATGTCTAGGAGTGTTCAAGAAGTTACTCTTTTTAGTCCCCCAGTTCCTTAGCTTGGTAGGGCCCAAGCAGGGCAGATGATTCAGTGTCATGGAATAAACCAGTCATAAAATTCCGTATCTCCACAATGCAACACTGTTTAATCGAGTAACCATCACAGTACTTCCCTTGCTTATCCCAGGAAGTCCCCACTGCATAGGGGGGCTCCCTTAACCCTGCCGTGGCCTCAAGTCTTCCCATATCTTGGTTGGGGAGATGGCTGCTAGGGCTGGGTCCAAAACCATGTTCTTGCTTCTTAGGGCTGTTTGAAGCCCCCTTTCTTCATAAGAAGGTCACTAGTTCCCAGGACTCCTAAGTGGCAGGTGTTAGACTTTCAGGGTCCAGCTCCTGACAGCTGGAACCCCCCAGAGGCCAAGAGCAGGGTCTTCCAGGAGAGCAGAGAGGAGGTCCCCTCAGAGGGTGACTCTGGCTGCCCTCCTGCTGGAAAGAGAAGAGAAGATGAAGCAGGGCCAGGAGAAGTCACAGCACTTGAGGGAGGGGCAGGAGGGAGACTTACCTGGTGCATACACACAGCCCCGCCTCTTCTCCCCTGCAATAGGCAGCAAGGTGAGGCCTTTGTATGGCTCTCACATCCCAAATTTCCCTTCCCACCAGACCCTGGCAGGGACATTCCCCATCTCGGTCCTTCTTTCCCTTCACCTAAAGGCAAACTTCTGATTTACCTTCTTCTTCCTTCCCCAGGGAATCTTTCCAAATTGTCTTTCCATTCCCGTTCCCACCCAAGCCCCAGTCACTCTCTCCCACCTCAGCACTTGAGAATGGCATGCGTGTGCCCTGTCACCACCAACAAGCTTCCCAGGTCTTTCTTCTACTTTCCAATATCCTTAACCAGGTCTTTTTGGTCTATTAGACTGTATAGCAAATGGACTCTTGAAAACATGTAGAATCATCTGAGAATATTCACAGATCTGGAAAACACTTTTAGGACCTGACAGAATTACAGATGTACAGAATAACTACAGCTGACATCTAGCCCTCAACTCTGATTAACCAAGTGGGTCACCTGAAGGTCCAGGGATTGTGTAGTGACGTTTATCTGACTTATGCCCCTCCCACCAGTTCTGCTTCCCCCATGCATAACTCACCACCCAAGTAGGCGCAGTTAAAGTGGCTGCAGGTCTGATTATAACTCCAGAGAGTCACTAGGCTCTGAGCTTTATCCTGGAAGAACCTGGTTACCAAGAAGACTTCATGGGGGGGAATCAGCACTTCACGCTCCTCAGGAAAGACAGACAGGGCCTGGATAGGGACCCCAAAGCAAGTCCTTAGAGAGAAGAGGGTGGCATTACCAAATCTGCGGGCTATCGCCTCATCCAGGGTGCTGGAAGCAAACTGGCCCAAGCGGACAGAGTCCCCCAGTCTTTTGGGTTCAAAGTGAAGGCTGCCCACACCTCGAAACACTATCTCCCCAGGTCTCCTGCTGCAGCCTTCGCTGCCCCGCAAGAGCTGCAGGGCCCGGGTCAGGTAGAAATGTAGGGCCTTGAAGGGGAAATGCCTCATGTAGTGCTCCCGAGAGCTACCACCCATCCTCACGGCGTGGTTCAGCTCCCTGTACAAGGTGTTAGATGAGTTGGTATAGACCATAATGGCTATTCCATGCTGGGCTTTGAAGCCAGAGGGCAGAGTGAGCCCTCGTCGCCTGTACTCCCAGGCTTCCTGGGCTGCCTCCCAGGATTCCCGCAGCAGGGCATGGTGGGTCATCTCCTCCTTTAGCAGGGAGGCTGCCTTCTCCTCCATCTCCTCTGAACAGCCCTCATAGGCATCGTCAAAAGTATCTGGAGCCAGCCCCAGGGGCAGGATGGGAACAGCCTGAGCCTGTGGAGGAAGGGAGGAGGAGCCACGTAGGAAAGGGTGTCAGTTTAGAGCACTGAACAGAGGAGGTCTTGGGGCAGATAACTTAGAAACACAGAATCTCATTTCTATGTCCAAATATCTGGTATATCTGATTTGGCAAGAGTTCAAGAAGAGGCTTAACTAACATAGGCACTAGAGTCAGATAGACATGGGTTCAAATCTTGATTTCCTCACCCACAAGCTATGGGATCTGGGGTAAGTCTCTTAACTTTTCTGAGCTTCCATGTCTCCATCTATGAATTGAAGTTACTTTCAATCTCATAGAGCTATTATAAGGATAGCATAAAGAACTTCATTTCTGGCTTGGCACTTGTAGCTCAGGCAACTAGGGTGCCAGCCACAGTTGGCAGAGCTGGCAGAGCTGGCAGGTTCAAATCCAACCAGGACCAAAAAATAGCTGGGCGTTGTGGCGGGCGCCTATAGTCCTAGCTACTTGGGAAGCTGAGGCAAGAGAATTGCTTGGGGCCAGGAGTTTGGCGTCACAGCACTCTACCCAGGGCAACAGCTTGAGACTCTGTCTCAAGAAAAAAAAAAAAGAACTTCATTTCTATACAACCTAAAAGGGGTCATCTTATCCTAAGAAAGGTTTCTGCACTTGGTGGCAGATGAGGCTAGATGACCTCCAAGCAGTTTTCTTACTCTAAGATTCAATATCCAGGTGATATGCAAATACGTAGCCAATGTCCAATTATCTGACCCCGACCCCATTCTCCTCAGATACTTTTTCCCTGTCATCCTTCTGGAGGCCCTTGCAGGTGTCTGGCCACCACACCAAATCATTATCAGCTCTGCAATTCCTGAGTCCTCTCCTGCTTTGGAAACCTTTATCTCTAAACTTGAGAGGTGGGGTGGGAGATCAAGCCTTGGTCTGAGAGGGGCTGCCAAGCCCAGAGCACACAGGTGACCCAGAAGGGTTTGCCTAGGCTGTGCCTATGATGGGAGATGAGAAGTGAGTAGAAGGCTGGAGGTATCCCTAGAGAGGGGTAACATGAAGTGGAGCGGTGCGTGGAAGTGGGGGTTCTGGGAGGGGGAATGGGAATGTGGGGCTCCCTGAAGGGATGAAGGTTCCAGAGAGTAAGAAATTTAGAGGAGTAGCATTCTAGGGAAGAATCCTAGGAGAGAGTTGTGAGGAGTCAGCCCACCCCCACACTTCTTCAGAGCCTGCTCCACAACCTCCCCCTTTTGGTAAGATGTGATTCCTGGAGTTACCTGGAGGATGTGGAAGCCAAGGCAGCTGAGGGCGATCAGCAGAGTAGCCAGCACCATCCCTGGGGGAGATGTAGCAGGGCCAGGTCCAGATGAAAGTGACACCTGCGGCGGTCAGGTCCAGCTTCCGTGGGCTCAGACGCAGACCCGGATCCTTTCTCCAGCTGCACGTGGGGTCCCTGGTCCAGAACTGGGACCCAGGAGGGGCGTGGGCGGGGCAAAGGGCGGACCTAAGGGTGGGCGGGGCCTTGGATTTGATTGTCCCTTGCACACCTCTGCGCAGCACCCAGTCTGCTCCCCAGACTCCTTAGACGCCCTCGCTCAGCACCTCCTGTCTCACGTCCTTTTCGTAACAGTACAAGTGGGGCCGTAATTTGGCTCCGCCCGAGAGGAGTGAGGGACGAGGACCCACCTGGAGGCTGCGGAGGCCGAGATCAGGAAGGAGCTTTGACAGTCGGGGCAGGCTGAGCTGTCCCCAGAGTCCAGCTAATAAACAAAATCCCCGCGGCTAACTATAGCCCCCGCGACGGTAACCTGACACCTCTCCTCCCCAACAACAGACACGGGAGTGGGCGGGGGCAGTGGCTGGGAAGGGGCTAGGGGAGGTAACTCGTTCACAAGGACAGCGGGTTCTTTCTTTAGGATCCCCTTTGGCTCTGAGCAAGGCCAGGATCGGGAAGGAAACTTGTGAGACTTCGCTTCTTCCTCAGGTGTCACTGACCCGGCCGGCTCCTGCCCCCAGACCGCTGGGACAGGGAGCCCCGCGGGGGTCCTGGCAGCTAAGAGGTCAACGCTTGAGCACTCGCTGATTTACATACAATTTGCATACGCCCCTCTTATAGGGTCACGGGCTCCAGCATCTGAGCAGCAGCCTGTCCCTCGTCTTTACCCTCTCCCCCTTCCGGTTAAGTGGGGTTGGACCAGAGGCAAAGCCTTCTGTCATCCTCAGAGCCCAGCCCCGCCCCTCTCCCAGAACCTCTCTCTGGATCTCCCACACTCAGGTGACCCCATGTTTATAAACATTAGCCTCCCCCTCCACCTCTTCTGGGCTTGTCTATAAATAACTTGGCTTTATTTTAGAGAAGAGGCCAACGGAGCAATTAGTAAACAGGGAGGGGGAGCTTTCTTACAGCCTGAGCCCGGCGGGGCGAGGGTATCACTCCTGCCCAGAGCTGATAGAGGACTCTGGGGTCCTGAAGGTCAGGAATTAAGAGATGCTGCCTGCTGGGACTGGGGTAGATATAAGAGGTAGACTAACCCACAGGACTCCATCCTGCTATGGCTCATTTACTCCAGCCCTGTCCCCTCATCCCCTCAGACTGTCAGCCAAATAGTTTCCTCCATCTAGAACTCTTTTTTTCCCAAAAAATCCTTCCTGTAGACGAAACAGGAAGGCAAAATCCAGGCTTGGAGGAAAGTGAGAAAGGAGGGGGAAGGAATTGTATCCTCCCAAAGGAGAATGCTTGTTAAGAAAAGAGCTTTGGGCTCAGTGCCTATAGCTCAACCGGCTAAGGCGCCAGCCACGTACACCTAAGGTGGCGGGTTCGAGTCCCCAGCCCGGACCCGCCAAACAACAATGACGGCTGCAACCAAAAAATAGCCGGGCGTTGTGGCGGGCGCCTGTGGTCCCAGCTACTTGGGAG